GCTTTTTAAAGATTTTTTAAATTTCATAGGATCTATCGCTACGTATCACAGAAGTCTATATTTCGGAAATATTGAGATAATACCCTAAGCTGATTTCGAACTTAAAAACAAATATCACCATTCGACTCAGCATGATGAATTACCCCATTCCAGACTGTTTCCTAGGTGATCCAAGGTCAGTTGGCTGAAATCAGGGGTCTCAGGAAAACTCTTATAACTCTTGAACGGAACAAGCTAGAAAGGTGGGCTTTTCGTAGATCGAAAGAGAAGAATTTTTTCTATCAAAAACGTAAATTAACAATCCAGCAAAGTTGAGAAACAGCTCCAAAATACCGTGCTCGACATTTCCATCGAGAATGCATCTGATTGGTCCATTGCTGATCAATTATATTTTACCATGTGTGGATGCCCCTGGGTCCTTTCGTTCTAATGGTGAAAACCGCAGGTCGCTAGCTGCATCCGTTCAGGGGATATTTCTCCTTGAGTTTTCTCCATTGACTTCTGGAACCGACATTAGTTTTGTTTTAACTTTGATTTATTTCTTTTTCTAAAGTTAGCAGCACTTACAAATGATCGTGAACGTATTCAACATGAAATTGAACGTTTAAATGCTGAATTTGAACATGCTCGATTAGAAGAAAAAATTCGTGAAGATCATCGGAAACAAGAATTAGATGCATTACAAGCAAATGTTACTAAACGTGAAGAAAAATTAGATAAAATTCTTAAAAAAGAACGAGAAAAAATAACATTAATCGATGAAGATGAACGAAAATTAGAGAAAATTGATGTGTATGTTATTTTCTTTTAGAAAAATTTTTAATACCTCTTGCATGGATACGACTTTTCGTAGCCGGATCCGAATCGGAGCTAATCAACATCCGAGAGATAGTTTCATATTCACCGTACAAGTTTTCAAACTTTTATTTTACATGACAAAGTATAATAGTTAGTTTCTTTTCATATAGTTGATTATCATCTGTAAATGGGTTTTCATTAAAAACAAGTTCTTTTAGTACAACAATATTGCTTGACTTGTATTTATAATAGAAATATTTTTTTTTTTTCGAAAGAAGATTAAAGTTATTAAAACATTTACTTTTATAGACAAATTGATCGTGATAAAAAATCATTGGCACGTTTTGATCAACAACGTGATCGTGATGCAGAAATGTTACGAACAGTTACGGAAAATTTACAACGAGCGTTTTATACAAATGATTCAATTAGTACGGATATGAAACGTGAAACAGAAAAACTACAAAAAGAAGAAGATGGAATGAGAGTAAAAAAAAAAAATTTTTTTTTTTTCTTCTATCGAATTTAATATTCTTACATTCAGGCAACAATGGACTCATTACGAAGACAAATTCATGAAGAATCAACAATAATTGCAATGTTGGATAAACATTTAGATAGTGATCAACGTGAACTTGATTCTTTGAATGAAGCAGAAACGATTCGAGCTACAGAAGTTAGTTGAATAAAAAAAAACACAAAAAGAATAGTATTCATGTAAAATTATTTTTAGGCTGAACGTGTAGCTACAGAATTACAAACCAAAGTTGATACATTAACAGATAATGTAACAAATTTAGAAACAAATGATGTAAAAACAAAAGAAAGTTTAGGATCACTTAAACATAATTTATTAGACGTCAATGAAAATTATGTCAAAGATAAAGATCAATTAGTACAAGCAAAAACAAGTATTAGTAGTCAACATGAACAAGCATCAGTAAGATAATTTAAATGAATTAGTATTATTATGCAGACATTCTTTGTTTTTGTGAATTCTAACCCTAACACAATCACTGTCAGAACTACCACTTGTTGTCTACTTAAGATCCGTGTGGATCTCTCTAGATGGTTGTGACAAGATTACGTAAAGTTCATTTCAATGAATGAATTTTCCAATTCAACCAATTTTTAATTAGACGTGTGACAGTTCTATATTGACTAACTGATATGATATTGATCATCCAGAGCTTTTTATATGAATTTGAACTTCTGAAACCTAGATGTTACCCTATGCTATATATTTATGTTCTAATTTCTGATGTAATATAAAAACAAGAGGCTATCATACTACGGTTACTGACTTCAGGTAAACTGATCATCGAATCAGTATAGTTAGTGTGATGAAATACCTTACTACAAAAACAAAAGCAAATTTTGATAGAATTGATGTCTAAATATTGTAGCGAACGCAGATGCCAGTGCAGGCCTCGCAGCGGTCCTGATTTCCTGATTTTTCGTAGTCGTCCTGATTCATCCTGATTTTGGTACAAGATCCTGATTTCTTGATTTTTGGTGCTTTTCGAAACTAAATAATTTCTCTAGAAAATTTCGGTTTAGTCTCAGTGTAGGCGTTTCAGAAATTCTGTCTTGAATTGATGAAGATACTATTTTTTCAATGATCGCTTTGTTCATCTTGTTTGAAGAATAGATAAAATTCTTTATGAACTGAAAAATGTCGGTGAATATATGAAAAAATTCATCTGTTTTTTTTTACAAGATTCATACAAAATCTTGTATCATTATTCAGTAAGAAAAAAAAAAGAACAAACTTCAAATCTTATGGATGTGCAGTATTGGTGTAAATCCTGACGGTGAGTCGTCACCAAGACAGGGTCCATTGAAGAACTGACTACACTGGAAGGGGTCGCA